TTTTTGCCCGAATCACTCCCACGCACTTAGACTTTTGCTTGTCCACAAGCAAAACCAATTTCAAACAAGGTAATATCTCAACCTAACAAGATAACTCGAGGACAAATCAAAGGGCTCAAAGTGTTCTAATCTCAATGGCTATCAGGCATCAACACATGGACAAAATTTAAGCAATACCTCCACCCACCACAAACAACATTCGGGTGCATTAAGAATGTGCAAACGAAAAGTTCTCAACTTGTTCACAAAACAACACAAGACTCGAAAAGACTACTCCTCAACCAAAATCGAACATGCATAGAGATCAAGTCCAAGGAACAAACGACTAGGAGAACTAGGTCCTCACTGGGATGAAATATGAACATACGGCACATGAATGAAAAATCACTCACTCTTGACCTGTGGGGTCGAAACCATTTGATGCAAAAAAATGTGCATATCAACACTTAACCCTGTCGTCTCTTTGCCACGGCGGTAACCTCTAAATGCTAAAGCTCACATGGTGGTTGTCATCACTAGCTTGTCTGGAGGTTTTAGACACGGGTTCAAATGACTGGCAAGGGTGTTGGACATGGGGAAAAGGCCTTTTTGAGTGGTGGCAAGCAAAGCATGAGATTCCACATCTTCAACCTAAAACAAAAGGTTCTATGGTTTCTATAAGAACCTTCCCTACAACCAATGGCCACTAGCATCGGCCAAAAACCACACTTCCCTTATTTCAAACCACTAGCAATCACAAACTATATTCAAACACACTTCCTCGGTCAATCATGCTATTCAATTTCCAAGCATGGTAGTGAAGGAGGTCAACAAACAATAGGTGTTTCAATGGCTTGAGTGCCAATAAACCCTTTCTTAGAGCATACACTTTACATTTTTTGTGGCAACTCCTTATCTTTTATTTACCCCTTTTTATTACCTCATTTTCACTTCTTTTTCTTTCTTTCCATTTTCTTTCTTTACTCTCTTTTGTTCTTTTTGAGGGGGGGGGGGGGGGTTACTAGGAAGCTAAACACATCACAAAAATCAACTTCAACATTGTTGTTCATCCTTATCTTGTGCCACGAGCTTGGTGGAGAACTCTGCAGATGACTGTCTGCACCTCGTTGTTAGTCTTTACCGTCATAGGATTGTCACCTCGTACTTGGCAGAGCTGCTAGCTGCTGGAAATGGTATGCTCTTGAGGGGTAGAGTATGATGCAATTGGAGGGGATTTTATAGTCATCATTCCCCAGCTTCTCAAAGGGATAGAGTCTGATGTAATTGGAGAACTGAGGCTCAGGGACTGCCTGCATATGATAGCTACTCTAGACATAGGCTTAGAATTTTTTGGGCTCTTAGGACTGCCAATCAAACTGATAGTAGTGTGCAAAGAAAAGGCCTTTCTTTGTCTAGTTTAGAGTTACTTTCATTTATTTTTGCTACTTAGGTGAGAAGAGATTTCTCGGATATACATTTTGTTTCTTGTATTGTATTATATTGTCATATCTCAAATAAAAATAAATTTTTAGCTCGCTTATTCTCAGTGTTTCGCGTATGAACTGTAGAGCGTTCCATCTTCATCTTCATTCTTTTTTGTTTTTAACAACGGCTTAGTCGACTCCACTTTCTCCTTTATTCTTATTTGTCAATGTGGTGGTGCGAAAACTAGAGCAAGAACGAGAATCTAGAGTGATGGACTCGGGATTTTTATCGAGGTGTCTCAGTCGATAAAATTAAATAATCAATGAAAATAAATTTATTCATAAAGTGCACAACTCCATTGTTATCATAGTGAGAGAAGATGACTTTTTATATTCTTAAATATTTATAAAAATAAATTCATAACTTATTTTGTGACTCAAAACCTTTTTAATTTTTTCAATCAAACAATCAATGATAAATTGCTCGCTCATCCAGCTTTAATATTGTTCTTGATTAATGTTTAGCTGAAAAAAACAAGTTCACAGTTTTGCAGTTGAACAAAAAAAGTCAGCACTAACTTTATAAACAAGTAAACCAAAGAATAATAGTTATGCTTTCCAGCATGTACATTTTATTACAAATCTATTCAAGTCCCCTATAATTTGACATGTAAGATTCTAAAAAAGTGGGGGAAACAAAAAACCTGAAAATTGGGATTTAGAGCTCTAAACTTCAAATTACTTATTATTTGAAGGAAAGATTAGCGAATGACTCATTCCGAATATCACACTTAAATTCTACCTAAAGTCCAAGTATAAATCTTAAATAGGTGCAATACCTTTCTTTCTTTTTTAACAAATTGTGTAATAGTGCTATGAAACAGACCACCCATGAACGCTACGCTTATTATGGTCTGTTCTTACTTCCGGTGGTGAGAAATTGTGAATTGAGAATCATATTCGCCTACCGCACTGTGTCTGGCTGGTGGCTGCTTACTGTGCTCTCTAGAGTTATGAAACAGACTACCCATGAACGTTACCCTTAAGAGTCCATAACTTTGCGAAAAACCAAATTTAGGCAATCAAAGGTGGTGGATGTGTGATGATTTTTTATGGCTTAATTGTTTGTGAATTGGATATCTGATCTTTGTATGATTAGAGGGGATGTTTGCTTAATAGAATAATCCATTTTAATTCATGTTTATTTTTAACATGAAGTTTAGTAACTCAAAACCTTCGAGACACATATCACCTACTGCATTGTATCATTTTGCCTTGGTGCTTGCTGTGTTGTCAAACTTCTTTGCTGCTGTTGCATTTACACTAACAGGGGAGTTAAGAACCCATGAATGTTTCCGTTTGACATAAACAACAGGACTTACTTCTAAATCGTGCATTAAAGATGATTGGAGGAAACATCTTTGTTGCAGTTGATATACTGGAGACCATAACAAAAGCAACGTATAACATCAAAACCAACCATCTGAACTATTAGCATTGTTGCTTTACTCTTTTTTCGTGGTTGAGTCTCCTTCAAAAAATTTAGTTTGATTTTAGAAAATTTTGCTTCTGCAGTCCTGTCTTGCCACCAACGCGTTCAGTAGATGGCGAAGGCTATTTTTGTGTTGTTGTTGCTGGTTTAGGGATCGGTTTGTGAAGAAGAGGGGAAAGAGAGGTGGATAACTCTTTTCTACGACAAAAATGGAGTGAAGAAAGGAATTATGATCAGTAAGGATATGGTTATCTTACATAACAGTCTCTATTCTGTTTGAATTGAGCTTGGGAGGCAGTGATAAGGACGAGTTGCATCCAATTCATAGTGATAAGAGTGCTATGAACTGTGATCATGTCTTATTTCAAGTTAGAAGGTAGTTTCAGTATAAGGATTATTTAATTTGACAAGTTGTTTCGTCCATGATTCTTGGTAGTTTCAGTGCCATTCTAGCCATTGTTTAGTCTGCAATTTTTGAGAATTGATGTGCGAGTAATGACTTTCACTTAGCTTCAACTATTATGTGTGTATTTATTGGCATGTGATAGAATTCTCTTTTCCTTTTCTTTGAATTCAGTTTCATACTCTAATTGTATCATTTGTACATAGGCAAATCATGCTCGAGATGACAACTCGCTGATATGGGTGGTGCAAGGAATGAAGCCATCATTAGAATTCAGACCGACAACGGGGAGGGATGCCCAGGACTAATTCAATGATGATTGATGATGGTATAATAAAAACTGCAGTCTGCATCAGCACCAATTTCTAGGCCTAAGTAAAGTTATTCAACCCAGAACTCTGCTTAGCGCTAAAAATTGCCCTCACCCAACCTTGATCCTGTTTGACCCACTTCTGAAGAGTCAAGATATATGACTAATCCTCTCCGTTCATATTTTCTTATTAACTCTTTCTGACCCTTTAGGTTGGGGCGGGTCGGGAAGAATTGGATTAGTGGGTCGGTCCTAATCAAGTGGAATCTCAATCCCTTCATTCTCACTTGCTTTCTCTCCCATTCCACAAGTGGGTAACATAGAGTAATCCGGCCAACGGGCCGGGTAATAAGCTAGTATTTATAGGTAATCATAACTTGATCAAACCAAAGATCTCAAGACAATTAGTTGATATTATTTTTGCGTATTAAGTTTTATGGTAATTTTTGTTTCTGAAAAAGGCGGTGGCAGGTCGTAGTTGTTAAGAAATCTCGAGGGTAATTTGGTCAATCGACTAAAACGATCTAAAGAGGTTAAGAAAATCGGCCGCCTCTCTCAGCCTCTCTCTCTCCTGATCTCTCGATCTTCCTCTCTGAAAAAACGGAGGAAAAATCAAACCCTCTGCTCCTTCCATCTTCTCCCCCTCTCATTCGATCTCTCTATCGCCATCTGCTTCTCCTCGCGGCTTCTACTCCATTTCTCGATCTGTCCTTCTCACCTCGTTTTTTTTGGGAACGACTAGGGGAAAGGAAGAAGCGGACGGCGGCAGCGGCGGCGGCTAGAGCCGATGATGGTTCGAACGACGGCGACAAGAAAATCGACGCCGACGATAGTACTGGCAACGGCGACGGCGGAGGAGGTAAGATTTGCTACTTGTTCATTTTGCATGTCGGATTTAGGGGTTCGATTTGGTTGGTTAGGGTTGTTTGGAGACTCGGATCTTTTCAGGTTCAGGATTCTGACTGTGTTTGGTTATTTTTGCGGTTTTTTGTTCTCGCGAGGGAAGAAAAGGGAAGCCTACTTGGTTCTTGACAGCGATGAGCTCGGCAGTGCTAGTATCGGGGAAAAGAGCTGAGGGAGAAGAAGAAGAGAAGTCGGCGAGCTCCGGTGAAACTGCCGACGACTGACACGATGGGTAGGTGAGTTAAATTTAGTTTTTGTTTCGATTCTGGATTTTTTTTGGGCCTGATCGAGGCGGGAATGGGAAGTAGCTCTCGGCAGAGAGGGGCGATGGAGGAGCAAGGGAAACAAGGCCGGACGGCGACTTACGGTGATTGATCAGCGAGGACGGCCGGTGCCATCTTCGGCGACGACGGGAACGACGGCGTCAACGACGATCAGGGGTAAGTGATGGTTTTAGATTGCATGTCTGGTTTTTGAGGTTTTTGTTGTTTTGGGATTGATTGTTGTTTAGTTTTGATTTCAGGGTTGTCTTTCGGTCAAGGGAAGGGAAAACGAGGATCCCCGCCGGTCAGAGACTTACCGGCGATGGACGCGGCGGTGAGGGTAAGACGGGTTTTTTCTTGCATGTCGTATTTGGGGGTTCTTTTGGCGAATTCGATTTATTTGGTGATTCGATCTTTTCGGGTTTGGGGTTCTCTGACTATGTTTTATTGTCTCTGGGGTTTTGGTTCTGGTTTTGGTCGAAGGAAATGGAAGAAAGGGACTCGCCGGATCCATTATAGGATCTCGCCGGCGACGAAGATGACGACGGCAGGGTGGTGTCCCTGTGGTAAGTTTTTTTAGGTTCTACTGAATCTTGTTTTGCTTTAGATTTCTGGGTTTGGATTTCTGATTTGCTTCTTTTTGGGTTTTGATTTTATGGCCTCGGAAGCTATAGGAAAAGGCGAGTACCGAGACTGCACCGCCGCCGAGGACAGTAGCGCCGGTGACAGGATGAGGTGAGGGCTCGTTTTATGCCTTTGATTTTGACTCTACTTGAAGGGGTCTGACTTCTATCCTAAGTTGATGTGGGTAGGAGTTCTCAAGGTTGGAAATGAATGCTATTGTGCATTAGAAAATGATGTTTGGTATGTTCTTTAGCTATTATTTTGGTATGCTGAGTTTTAATGTTTGATTGTTTTAGGTTTATGATTTGGAAACCCAGATTTGTGTTAAAATGACAATAGTTCATAAACCTGATAGCTACCTGAAGTCACTACTATTGCGTGAGATCCTTTAGGAGCTTTGTGTCATTTCTTTCGATTCTTACAATGTTGGGCTGATGTAGGTATAAACTTTGGGATTGATTAAGTTGTCAAATTAGTGGTTTTTATGATGTATGTAAATCTGCAATCTTTGTGCTCGTGGTGCTTGAACCTGGGAGTCTGTTTTGTGGTGTTCATAGTAATTTTTGGATTTTGAAGTTTATGGCTTGAAAAATCATATGGAAATTTTGTGTTTATAACTGGAATTTTGTGCGAATATGGTATCTTTCAAATCTGAGATTTCTATAAGCTTATTGTAGCTTATGTGTTTTGATGTTAGTTTAGTTGTATATGTGGTGGAAAGCTAAGTAAAACTACTAAAACGAAACACAAATAGGAAACGTGTAGCTTCTAACATGTGATATGATTGATCAATGGAAATACTGATAAGTGGAAACAATGAAGTAGATGACATAAGCTAATATATAGGTATAGAAAGAACTATAATGAACTTGTAAAGAAAGCAAGCAAAAATCTGATTTGTTTGTTTATTTTGTTATCATGGTGGTGAGATTAACCATCTTATAATTTGGTTGGAGTTAATTTTAGCTGGATTGCTTTTAGAGATCTAAATCGACTTGTACAGCTTGGATTAATCATTATATGGATACTGGATGATGATTTATGATTTTTAGTGACTACCAACCTTTTTGACCTTTTTTGTTGTTTGGGTGATGATTCTCCCCCTCCTTGATTCTCTGAGCTTCTTTGTCCGCTACCTCCTTTGTGCTTTTGCTGATGTTGGCGGCAGGGGAGGATGTTTGTGGTGAGGTTTTTTGTTGTCCTTTTTGGATTTGTTTTTGGCTTCTGTTTGTGTGTGTGGTGTATCGGCTAAGAGTAGAAGGAAGTAGAATGAGATTGTCTTATTGCTATCTCTTTTCCTCGTGTATGTTTTGTGTGTTGCTAAAAGAAAGAAGAAGAAATGAGTGGAAGTGGGATTTTGCAGAGTTTTGTTCTCTCTGTTCTGCTCTGTTTCTGTTGGGGTTAAGAGGGTGTCCCTGTTTCTGCAGAGTTTCGTTAAGAAGAAGTTGTCTCTTTATGGTGGGCTTGTGGCTGAAAAAGAAGGCGAAAGAAGTGGAAGAGGGTTTCAGGCTGTGGCTGTGTGTTTTGGAAGGGAAGGAGTTTGGGAATGACCAAGAGATGAAGAAGAAGAAGAAGAAGAGAGGAAGTCTGCTGGGGGTGGTTTTTTGCAGAGTTTGGTTTCAGAGAAGCCTCCTCGTTGTAAGTGCCCAAAGGCCTCTTTTTATAGAAAGAGGCTGCTTAGGCAGCAAGCAAGCTACAATACCCAATTTGGTCTGACCGGGTTTCGGTCATTGGTTGGACCAGGTTTGGGTTTTCGGTTAGATTGGTCATGGGTTAGGTCAGAACAGGTCAACGGATCAGTTTGGCCAGCTTTGACTTCTTTTGACAGTTGACTCCTTGGTTGGGCTTTGACTTGAGCCCAATCTCTTTTATTTATACAATTTTAAAGGTCATTTATGTAACAACTTTGTAGTAATGTATTTGTACATGTAAATGGAACTTATTTTAATAAGATTGTTATTTTATTTCTTTATCTTTAATGTTCCAAAGTTGAGTCCAATCCTCACTAGACCCACCGTCTTAAGAAAACGATCAAACTCATACGATAGCAAAATGAAGTCTCATGTCTCGCTCGTCTAATCAAAGCAAAAGAAGTCAACTCTCATCGCTATTGCTTAATCTTGTCAAGTTATGGCGATCACGACCAATCTTGAGCACTATCAATATGTTTTTTATTTTGAAGATCAATTAAGATTTGCTATTGCAAACTTTAGACAAAACACTAAAATTATTTAATTAAATATATGTTCTAGCCCGGACAAAAAGTGGTGTCTACAAACCGTTAGGCCAAGGAATGCATTATAGGCTACGATGTAGCCCTCTTGGCCCAAGCACTTGAGGGTTGACTAACCTTCTCCGTCAAATTGAGGTTTGGATGGCTTAATCACAATTAACCTAGGTGTCTAATTTCAGTTTAGAGGTTTGCCCTATCTTAACCTAGTTAGGAGGCATGGAATTCCTAAGAAGACCTAGCTCAATTTGAGCCTCTTAAGATAAGGGGGTTTCTCTCTAAGCTAGGTTAAAGTAGCACAATAGATTACCAAGTGATGAACTGTAACCCACGATTCAAGGGTTTTGCTTGTAACTCACAAGCGAGAGAACGACGTAGGTGTCAAAATACCTTTTAGTTTATTGATTGGATACCAGGAACTAATGCCGAACTTACATATTTATATAATAAATAAACCTAATATGTAAACCTAATACTACCCGAACTCCTATTCTTACTCGGCTACCCCTCTCCTTGCTAACCACGAAACCCAAACCCACAAGAAACCCAACACGACCACTCTACCCCTAAAGCCCAACCCGAAAATATACTCATCAATCCTTCCCCCTCAAAGAACCTTGTCCGCAAGGTTCTCTTGTCGACCAGTCGCAGAGGACGACGATGAACGCAGTTGCTGCTCTTGCGACGAAAAAACTTGCGTCGCTTCCGGAACTTCCAGTTCGCAAATCGTCCTATGTTTGCCTTCCTTCCGATGACTGGGGCATGGATTGCTAGCTGAATTATTGGGACTCCAAACTCGGCAGCTTGAGCTGCAACATAAATACAAAATCCTTTGGCAAAATGGCTAGCGCTTGGGCCAAATAAAAGTAGGCTTGATCGGCCTCCATAATCATCATCTTGGTCCCATGAAAATTTCCTTCTTGTGTGTTTAATTTGAGGGATAAGTAGTGGGCTACGCAAACCCAAGCCACCAAAATCCAAACGTCCATCCGGTGCACGCGGTATCGAAGACGGATCTCGTTGACGGCCTCGCATAAGTTATAATCACCCTTGCGCACTATTTCTGTTAGACAGTATCAAAACACTCAATAGCTTTATACGAAAACGAAGAAGAAAACTCGACACACGATTTACGTGGTTTCCCCGATATCGGGACTAGTCCACGGGAGAGCTAGAACTCTCCGAGCTGATCGTCTTATTAGTTTTCTTAGTTTGATTACAAGACCCTTGCTGTACATAAATACTACCACCTAACCCTAGCTCACTCAAGTTCTCGCTAGGGCTAGTTTCTGCGGCTACACCCAATTACACTCGACATACTATACAACAATGGGCTAGAAGCCCAAATCCACTAACAGCCTCCCCCAAATTGATGCTGGTCCCGAAGCATCAATTTGTCAGACAGTAACATATGACGAGAACGAGGAAAAGGCTTTGTGAATAAATCGGCGAGCTGATCAGCGGAAGTGACATGACGAACTATAAGAAACCCCTCCTGCACAAGATCACGTACATAATGAACATGAACTTCAATGTGTTTGGTCCGATCATGGAGAACGGGATTAACGGCGATCTGGATAGCACTAGTGTTATCGACGTGCAGAGTAATCGGAGACGGACACGAGACTCCCAAGTCAAGAAGAAGACGTTGCATCCAAACCAACTCTGAAGCAACATCAGACATAGCTCTATGCTCCGCTTCAGTAGAAGACTTGGAAACTTTATCTTGTTTCCTACACCGCCAGTTGACAAAGGTCCCACCAAACTGAACGCACCAACCCGTAGTAGATCGACGGGTATCTACACAACCAGCATAATCGGAATCCGAATAAGCCTGTAAACGTAAATCACCGGTAGCAGGAAGAAACAAACCAACCTCCCGAGTGCCCTGTAAGTAGCGTAGTATCCGATGAACTGCAGACAAGTGATCCACCCTGGGATCAGCCATAAACTGACTTACTACATGAACAGCAAAGGAAATGTCCGGTCGAGTGTGGGTCAAGTAAATCAAACTGCCAACTATGTGTCGATACTGAGAAGGATTAACCACAGTGACCCCTGACTCACGTCCAAGATGCAAATTAGCCTCCATTGGGGTGGTGACGGGAAGACAATCACCAAATTGTGTCGAAGAGAGCAAATCCATAATGTATTTTCGTTGGCTTAAGAGAATACCGCGCGGTGAGCGAGTGATCTCTAAACCTAGAAAATATGATAGCTTGCCCAGCTCCTTGAGTGTAAACGAAGCATGGAGGCCGGCCTTGAGTTGAGTAATACCATTAGCATCATCACCTGTGATAATCATATCGTCCACGTACAGGAGGAGAGCAATAATTCCCGCAACCGATGTCTTCAAGAACAAAGAAGGATCATTGCGACTTTGCTGAAATCCAAGAGCCAAGACTGTAGACTGAAATTTCTCAAACCAAGCCCGAGGTGCTTGTTTGAGACCATAAAGTGACCGCTGAAGACGACATACCTGATCCTCCCTGCCAACTGTGTATCCCGGCGGGCGTCTCATGTATACTACCTCCTTCAAATCGTCGTGGAGGAAAGCATTTTTGACGTCGAGTTGAAACAAAGGCCATCCACGAATAGCTGCAACAGCTAAGAGGGTCCGTACCGTCTGCATTTTAGCAACGGGTGCAAATGTCTCGTCGTAATCGAGACCATATTCCTGGCCAAATCCTTGTACCACCAGCCTGGCACGAAACCTCTCCAAACTGCCATCCGCCCTTACTTTCACTGCATAAACCCATCGGTTGCCCAAAATTGTAACTGGTTCGGGAGGGCGATCCACTACCACCCACGTACCCGTAGCATGCAATGCGTCAAATTCAGTTTGCATGGCCTTATTCCAGTTGGGATCTAGCATAGCCTGCTTATATGACGTGGGAATAGTAAATGCTTCAACATGGTAGGAAACAAAGTCATTATAGCGAATTGGTGGCTGGCCTTTTGTTGTGCGAAGTGACCGTCTAGGAGCTGGTGGCGATGACGGTGGGGAGGGAGAGCCTGGTGAGTCCGAACTGCTGGATGCCGAGCTGCTGGAGGATGAAGCTGGAGAATTATCACCCGGCGAAGATGGGGCAGGCGAGTCGGGGGGAGTGTGAGGTCATCGGCCACCTCATCATCGTCGTCAAACACGGGCAGTCGGGTCACCTCAGACACGAAGGAAGATTCTTCCGAAGGGCTCGAGAAAAACATGAGACGCTCAAAGAATACCACATCACAGGAAATACGAAGACGTTGGAGAGACGGATAATAACACAGGTATCCCTTATGGATGTCACTATAACCGAGAAACACACATCGGGACGTTTTCGAGGACAACTTAGACCTTTCTATTCGAGGAAGAAGAACAAAACAAGTACACCCAAACACCTTTAACCGAGAGTAATCAGGATGCTTTTTGAATAGAACATAGTGGGGACTAAGCTGACCAAGAACGGGGGTAATTTGATAGTTGATCAGACGAACGGCAGTAGCCACAGCTTCTAGCCAAAAACGAGCTGGAACATGGGAAGCTAACAACATGGCTCTAGTGAGTTCAACTACATGACGATTCTTTCTTTCGACAAGATCATTTTGCTGAGATACACCGGGACACGATTTCTGAGTTAAAATTCCCTGAGATCGAAACAGACTAGCTAAAGGATGAGAGCTGAATTCCCCGCCCGGATCTGAACGAACTACACGAACTGTCTGACCAAACTGAGTGTGAATCATTTTCAAAAAATCTGTGGCAACAGAGAGAAGATCAGATTTAAGACGAAGGAAATAGACCCAAGTAAAACGAGTGGCATGATCCACGAATAATGCAAAGTATTTGTAACCATGACGGGAGTCGGTAGGCGACGGGCCCCAGAGATCCGTGTGAACAATTTGGAATGGATCAATAATTACCGTAGTGCTAGAGGGAAAAGAACTACGAGTGGCTTTAGCTTCAACACAGCTCGTACACTGAAAATTGCCCGAAGAAATATCAACCTTTTTATTGCCGAAAAGTTGTTGTTTAAACATGGTCACAAGCCGACTCGAATGAGGGTGACCTAAACGAGAATGCCACAAATCAAACTCACTAGTGTTTAAACTCGAAAAAACAGGAGGGACTGTAGATGCCCGAGACTCGACTATGGAAGATGACCGAGATGGAGGTTGACCCGACAATTCTTCAAGCTGGAACACACGCCCATGTTTACTCCCCCTTCCGATCTGCCTCCCCATCGTCAGATCCTAAACCACACACCCCGAGGGGTCGAACACCACACGACAATTTTGCTCAGTCAGTTGACGAACAGAAACAAGATTAGGCACAAGATTCGGAACACATAAAGTACGAGATAATGTCAAGCGAGGTTCAAAAACATCACCAACACCCTTAATAGACAAACGTTGGCCATTTGCAACTTGAATAGAACCAGACTCCGTCGAATTCAAATTCTTAAACGTTTTAGAGTTACCCGTCATATGGTTAAAGCATGCAGAATCTAACAACCACGGAGGGGAGATACCTGCATTGTGAAGAGTTGCGAATGCGCTGGTGATGGCAGTAGGTAGCGAGCGTTGCAATGCTGAGTGGACGAGCTGTTCCACTGCCTCCGCAGTCATGTACTGCCCTGGAGAAGGTGCGGCAGCAGCAGCTGCAGCAACCGCTGGCTGGGCAGCATAAGCACCACCAGTGGGAGGGGCTGCATGGGTCGACGATCCGCTAGACGAACGTGGCTGAATTAATCGGCCGTCCGTGAT